CTTATTTATTATAGCCATGTTTTAAATGATGAAGATTCATTCCAGGATAGCCAGAGCTACACAGAGAAACTCTGTCTCAAAAAACAAAAATGAAAAAAAATAATAAATAAATAATGAAGATTCTTTGCAAGTTCAATAGAGAGATGCACTGAGCATGATCTCAGACAATAGGGTCCTCTAGTAATGTCAGATGCTTACGGTAGTGAGTGGCAGGAGAGAGGGCTGGGGTAGGAGATAGAACGGCAACCGGAGTAGCAAAGGAAATTCCTTTTTTCTGAGTTTAGAAGATTTGAGAAGGCACTAGACTGGACAGACAGAGAGCAATAATTCGGGAAGTTAATTCTGTTGTCCCGCCCTACCTTAGGACTGTTGTATGCAAGTTCAGCAACATGTGGGAGGTACTAGATAGGATATGGGTGTCTGAGTTACTGTTCCATTGCTGTGAAGAGACACCATGACCAAAGTAACTCTTGGAAAGCATTTAATTAGGCTTGTTTACACTTTCAGAGGCTTCGTTCATTATCATGACAGGAAGCATGGCAGCAGGGAGCATGGGACTGGAAAAGTAGCTAGCTTCCTAATGACTATACTATGGGGCTTCTTATTCAAACCACTCTTCAGTTCAGCCTCAGACAGATTTTTAGGACAAGGGCAAAAAGCAGCCACACTCTTTCCCAAAATACCACAAGAATAACCTCTAGGTCACTTACTCATATTCTTCCCTTCTGAAGCTCATTAAGCTGGGCTGTCATAATCTACGTTGCTCTCGGTCACTCTCTTCCATGCTTCTACAAGTGTGGTTCATTCAGCCTTGCTGAAAGCATTCAACTCCCTTCCTAACCCAAAGTCTCAAAGTCCACATTTCACCAGCACGGAGCATAGTTAGACATGTCACAGAAGCACACCTCTTCTGGTACCAATTTCTGGCTTAGTCGCTGTTCTGTTGTTGTGAAGAGACACCGTGACCAAGACATGAAAGAAAGCCTGGCCACAGCCAGGTGTAGTGCAGGACAGCTTCATCACAATCCTCAGGTAGACAGAGAGCCTGGGCCTCACATGGGCCTTTGAAACCACAAAGCCTGTCAGACCCAGTGGCATACTTCCTCCAGTGAGGCCACATCTATTCCAACAGAGCCACGCCTTCTAATTCTTCTAATCATTTCTAACAGTTCGGTTCCGTGGTGTGAAGCCTTCAAATATGGAGCCTATGGGGACCATTCTTATTGAAACCACCCATGAAGTGTGGCTCCTCAGTAGGAGCAATTCCTTCTTTATAAATGTTCTGGTGGTGCAGACCCCATACTTGAGAGGCTAAGGCAAGTGGATGCAAGTTCAAGACTTGAACGAGCTTCATAGTGATTCTAAAGCCAGCATAGGTAGCTTAGTGAAATGTCTCAACAACAACAGAGCTTGCCCAGCACATATGAGCTGTTAGGTTCAGTCTGCAGTAAGGGGTTTGCGGATGAGAGTGAGGAGGTTGGGGTGGCAATGAGGGTGTGGAGGGGTCATCCTCAGATACAGGATTAAGAGGAGCTTCTGTCTATAAATTTGTTCATAAAAGGAAAGATAAAGAAAAAAAAAACAATAGCCTGGGAGTGGTAACGCATGCCTTTAATCCCAGCACTCAGGAGGCAGAGGCCGGTGGATCTCTGAGTTCGAGGCCAGCCTGGTCTACAAGAGTTCCAGGACAAGCACCAAAGCTACAAAGAAACCTTGTCTCAAAAAGAAAGAAAGAAAAAAAGAAAGAAAGGAGGGAAGGAAGGAAGGAAGGAAGGAAGGAAGGAAGGAAGGAAGGAAGGAAAGAACAATAAACTTAGCAGGAAGACGTAAAGAAAGAAACTGCAAATACTTACAAACATTTTCTTCACATTACCAACCAGATGGTAACTAGTAACTGCATGGGCACAGCAGGGAGCAGTATTTGTCTGACTTCTGTGACTCAGAATGTTATACTTTTTATTTATGGTTTTTTAACTTTTAGATTTATTTTAGGTTTATGAGTTTTTTTACTCTCATGTATGTCTATGGAACTTGTAAATCCCTGGTGCCAGAGGAGATCAGAAGAGGGCACCAGATCTCCCGGAACTGCAGTTGCAGATGGCTGTGAGCTGCAACATGGTTGCTAGGAACCAACCCTGGATCCTCAGCAAGAGCAACAAGTGCTCTTAACAACTGAGCATCTCTCCAGCCATGTACTCCACTCCTTTTCTTCTCTGAGTTGGTTTCTCAGCTTCCTCTCCAGACTAAAGAACGTTTTGAGGAGCTAGAGGACGGGAGCAGCGCTGCAGAGAACCCGGGTTTGGTTCTCTGCACCCACATCAGCGCTGCAGAGCAGAGTGTACTGTTCATGCGGAGGACCCGGGTTTGTTCTCTGCACCCATATCAGCCGACTCACAATTGCTCCGGGGAATTCAGCACCTCTGGTTTTCATAAACACCTGTATGAATGTACACTCCCTCCCCACAAACACATACACATATTTAGAGTTAACACATATATGCTTTGGAGGCAGAGTTTCTCTATGTAGCCCTGACCATCGTAGAATTCTAGAAGATCAGGCTGACCTCACAGAGAGCCTCTGGAGTGTTTGGAGTGGTAGCATATGCTACTATATATATCCAGCATAAAGTAAATATTTAAAACATGATTTTCATACCATGCAGAGTAAATTAGCCCAGATAGCGGGGTTGGATAGGGTGGTATAGGAGTGGGAAAACTTCCTGGACTTTTGCTCCCTTGTGGTTCATGTCTTTCATGAGTCCTAGTTCCTCTTTTTTATTTAGGAAGTAGTCAGCCTCTATCCTTGGAGCTGTTCTTCGGGGCCAAAGCTGTTAGATTACTTCTTAATGTCTACCCAGTTATTCCAAGCACTAAGGAATGCACAAATGGAGAAATGAAAACAACAAAATACACTTCAAATATTTTAATAATTAGAGAAATATTGGTGGTAGTGGGAGTAAATATTTCAAGTGGAGAAAACTCCATTTTGTGATCTAGAGAGGATGAGAGATAACAGTTAAGGACAAGTATTAAACAGGCTTCCCGCCCAGAAACATGGAGATTTTTACCTATGTGATGGGATCTCATATAGGCCAGCCTTCAACCTACTGGTAGCTAAGAATGACCTTGGATGTCTGAACCTTACATTCCAAGTTCTGGGCTTCTAGACAGATATGCACCACCATACCCAGCTTTATGTGGTGTTGGGGATTGAGCCTAGCGCTTTATGCAAGCTAGACACACACTCTACCAAGTACATCCCATCTCTTGAGGTACCGCATGAATTCTGTTTTGTTTTTTGAGACAGAGTCTCTGTGTCGCTCTGGCTGTCCTGAAACTCACTCTGTAGACCAGGCTGGTCTCAACCTTAGAGATCCTCCTGCCTCTGCCCCCTGAATGCTGGGATTAAAAATGTGCACTTGTGACTATATTATAATTTTATTAAGTGCTAATAACCACATGTGACTATTCTGAGTATTGTGGGATTCTAGATGATGATGATAGACTAAATGAGCTGCTAATTTTTCTCTGATCCAATTTAAAGTTAGGTGGATATTAAAACATAAACAGAGGCAGTGGGAAATAGTAACAGTCAGCATTTAATGTGTGGTTATTATAATTACAGTGCCAGGTACTTAACAAAACACTTAACCCTATTTTATATGATCCTTGCAAGAGTAGCAAATAAATTACTCTAATCATTTTCCAGATGAGAAAATTTCGGCATAGAAATTTTCTTGGGGATGGGTGACATGTAGTGGTATATTATTTGTATTTGATAAATAAATCTTGCCTGAAGACCAGAGGCAAAGCTAAAGCCACTAAAGGTTATTAAAGGTGTGTGCCACCATGCCTGGCCCTAATGGTTCAAAAATAATGCTAATAATAATATAAACCAATTAAAAATAAAAAAATTAAAAAGAGCAGTCAAGTCGGGTGAGAATGGCAGAAGCAGGCCTATCTCTGTGAGTTTGAGGCCAGCCTAGTCTACAGTGAGTTCCAGGACAGCTAGAGAAACCCTGTCTGGAAAGATCTCTCAGAAAAAAAAAAAATAGTTATTTCCTTGAACTTTTTTTTTTTCTCTTTCTTTCTACCCTACCCCCACCCTCCCCTCCCCAACTGCACAGACTGGCCCAGGCTGGCCTCAATCATTACTACTACTACTACTACTACTACTACTACTACTACTACTACTACTACTACTACTATTTAGACAGGGTCTCACCATGAGCAGCCCTGGCTGGCCCGGAACTCAGAGATCCCCTGCTTCTGTCCTGAGCTCTGGGATTAAAGGTGTGTACACCGGCTTTCCAGCTATTAAACTGGTGCGTAGTTAAGGCTCAATAAATATTTTTGAATGAGAAAAATAGGATTGAGAAACAGTGGCTTGAGTTGTGGTAAAACAGCAGGCAGGAGAGAGCTCCCAGAAGAGAGGCAGAAAAATGATTCTGAGATCTAAGTAAGGTTTGGTTAAGGAGGAGGAATTTCGAATGCTTACCAAGGCGGTGTACTGTTTAGGTGTGTAGGGTCCGTGTGTATAATTCTGTTGGGTGAATTTTCTTCCTGACAGTTCTCGGGGTTAGCAGAATTGTCTGGACCCGGTAAGGTGCGTCCATTCAATTTGTCGCCAATCCTGTCTGTGCCCAGGAGCCAAGCTGTCTAGACGCAACCTCGAGTTATGTGTTCCGCAGATCCGCGAGGCACCAAGTCAGCTCTGTCTCCCGCGTGGCCCTACTTCCCTATTCCCGAAAGTAACTTAGTCAACGTTTTGCTTCATTCTATTCTAGGATTGCACAATCTATGACTTGAATTTTTCGCTTTCCAAATTCTTACACAATAGCTCAGCGGAGAATGGAGTTGCAGGTCGGCGGTTCCGGGGCTCTCCACCCTCCGTCTAGTCCTCTTCCTGGGTTGGAGGACCGTGTCTGTGTGCGGGGTCGAGATGCTGGGTTCCCTAGACTGGAGAGAACTCTTGCGAGGCTTCCTGCCACACCTCTGGATGAGGGTGTGTCACCATGGAGACGAGGCCGCTGCCATTGGCTGGCGCCTCCGGCCGGGGCTATAAAGCCGGGCCCGTAGCACGGTGCACTTACAGCGTCAGCCAGACTCAGCCGGTGTCGCCCGCGGAGCGGAAAGGGCAGGATCTCGGCGCGGCCGTCGGTGACACCATGGAGAACAACGAGTGAGTGTGTGGCCCGGGGACTGGACGCTCTGCCGAGGGGACGGGCTGTCGCCGAGACCTGGGAACCAAGCGGGCTGGGCCCAGGAAAGGAACGAGCCCGCGGGGGACGCGGAGAGGCCTGGCGCGGAGCCCGGCGGACTCGGGGTTCCGGAACGCTGGGGCGGGCGGGCGGGCGCGGGAATCCAGCTGTAGGGCGCCCGGAGCAGGAAGGAACAGGTTAGCGCAGTGTAGGCGACTCCTGTCGGGAACTGGTGCCTCTGTGTGTGCTGGGATGCTTGTGGGGAAGCAGGTACAGCCCTGTCCACTTCATAACACAACTTTGCATTCTATGGGTCCAGGTAACCAGGACATAATTCTCTTGTGCTAGTCCGCAGTTCCTCCTCTAGAAGGAAAATGCTCACTTTCCAAGACAGCCCTTCTCTTCCCTCCAAACTAGACGTCGCATTAACAAGTTGGGAATGGAGTCTTTGTAAGACTGAGAAATATTTATTGATCTGCTCAGAAGACTTCCACTCTTTTCTGTCCGAAAAGCAAGCAAGCAAGCAAGCAAGCAAGCAAACAAACAAACAAACAAAAAAAAAAACCCCTCCGTTTTGTGTTGGGAATTTCCAGATTAATTCACCAGCAGAGCTGTAGGGATAACCACAAGGTCGGGTGTTCTTGAGGACTGAACTGTGGCTGGACATGGCCAGTTGTCATGCCCCATTTCTTCCCGCCCTTTGGGTTGCGGTTTCATTCATTTCTTGCTATTTATGTCGCCCTGTGACTCGCTCTTTCCCTGCCTTAGCTGTTTCATCGAGGGTAACCTGTTGTGTTGCAGTCCTCTTTGACTGTGTGTGTGACAAAGTCCTCCTATACTTCCAGGCTGGGCTCCTTATCCTAAAGTCTGGGGCTGCCACATAGCTGGGACTTAAGACTTTCTTGTTGGAAGAAAAAAAAAATTCTTGTTGAGGCTTTTTTAGTTGTGCTCAATTTTTTTCTTCTTTCTTCCTTCCTTCCTTCCTTCTTTTTTTTTTTTTTTAAGATTTTTTAAGACATGGTTTCTCTGTAGCTTTGGAGCCTGTCTTCTAGACCAGGCTGGCCTTGAACTCACAGAGGTACACCTGCCTCTGCCTCCCAAGTGCTGGGATTGAAGGCGTGCGCCACCACCGCCCAGCTAATTGTGCTCAATTTATGTTCCATGTCAAAGAGGAATCTTTAATCTTTACAGTTGGTTGTGATGGAACTGAACTTGGGACTGTGAGTGAGAAGGTTCTGGAGTTTTGTTGTTGTTGTTTTTAAACCCTTTGGTTTCTTGAGACAAGATTTCTCTGTGTAGCTCTGGTGCCTGCCTGTCCTAGAACTCAATTTGTAGGCCAGGCTGGCCTGGGTCTCACAGATCCATCTGTATCTGCCTCTGCCTCCCCAGTGCTGGGATTAAAAGTGTGTGCCACCACACCTGACTTTTTAGAAAGTTTAACAAACATGTCCAGAGGAACTAAGGCACTTCTACTAGGAGTGTTCTTATTGCTTATTAATAAGTAATAAAAATAAAAAGCTCAGTGCTGGTGACAAGACTCCAAAGGTGAAGGTGGTTGCTGCAAAGCCTGCTCACGTTCCGTCCTTGGGACCCACGTGGCAGAAGGAGAGCACTAAGAAACACACATGTGCTGTAGCATGCTTTGTGCACATCACACACATATACGCCAACTAAATCAAACTTTTAAATTAAAAATTAAATTAAAAAAATTTCACCTGGGCTGGGTGGTAGCAGTGCACGCCTTTAATCAAGGCACTCAGGAGGCAGAGGCAGGCAGATCTCTGTGAGTTTGAGGCCAGCAGCCTGGTCTACAGAGTGAGTTCCAAGACAGACGGAGCTACCCAGAGAAATTCTGTTTCAAAACAAAACAAGGGAAAAAAAATTATCCAAAGAGCTGCCTAAAGTCCTAGTTACTCTAGTGGTAGGCTGGGGTGAGAAAATCCATGGAGCCCAGGGGTTGGAGATTAGTGTAGGCAGAGTAAGGAGACATTGTCTCAAAACAAAAAACAAAACAAAAAAACAAAACAAAACAAAAGGCAAGAAACTTGCCTTCAGGAAGGCCTTAATTCATTCTGAGTCCTCTCTGTGGTTTGATTCTGCATCATAACTCTGAAACCTGGTTCTATGTCTGTTACCAGGAAAGGTATGGGCCTCCTAGTGCTGGGTGCAACTTAGTGGCGGAGCCCTGGAGGGCGCGTTAATGGAAACAGGCTCTGGGATGAAGGGTGTTTCACGGCAGAGGTTTAGTGGGCCGGTTCAAAGGAGAGATGGGGAAGTGGAGGGGTAAACAGTCCTCTGCTGCGGTAGAATACCCGCCAGGTTTTCTGCGCGAACAGCCACTTTCCTCTGCACTTGGGATAGCAGGTGAACTCACTTTGTTTCTTTCCCTCCAGATTCACTTACGAAGATTATCAGAGCACCGCTGAGTGGCTTCGGTCTCACACTACGCATCGACCTCAAGTGGCAGTGATCTGTGGTTCTGGGTTAGGAGGTCTGACTGCTAAGTTAACTCAGGTCCAGGTCTTTGAGTACAGTGAGATACCCAACTTTCCCAAAAGCACAGGTACTGGCTGGGCCTGGGAGCTGTTGGTGGGTGAAGAGACGCGATGACTGGGGAAATTCTAAGGAAAGAAAGCATTTACTTTGGGGCTTTCTTTCCGTTTCTGAGGTTTGGTCCATTATCGTGTTGTGGAGCTTGGCGGCATACTTGACACTAGGGCTGTAGACAAGAGCTCCACCCTCAAAACCCAACCCCAGTGTCATACTTCTCCCACAAGGCCACACTTCCCTAGCCACTAAGAATGCAAGTTTATGCACCTTGGGGCCATTCCTTTTTTGTTTGTTTGATTGCTTTGTTTTGTTTTTTGTTTTTGGAGACAAGAGTTTCTCTGGGTCACTTTGGAGCCTGGCCCAGTACTTGCTTTGTACACCATTCTGGTCTCAAACTCACAGAGCTGCCTACCTCTGCCTCCCAAGTGCTGGGATTAAAGGCAAGCACCACTATCAACCAGCATGGGGCCGTTCTCATTCAAACCTCCATAATGAACGTGTGTGGAATCTAATCAAGGAGATGTTTCTACTTTTGTCCTATCATTTGACCACTGTGGAATCAGAATGACTTTAGAAAGAAATCACCCTGATTGAAATTCTATGGTGTGTGTTGAGGTGGTGAAATTCTATAGTATGTCCTGTGTGTGTGCTGCGTTGGTGAGATTGCTCAGCAGGAAAAGTTGCCTGTAGCAAGGAGCCACTTGTTTGTCCTGACCTCCCAGAACTGAAATAACCACACAGAAACTGTATTAATAAAACACTGCTTGGCCCATGAGCTGTAGCTTCTTTTTGGCTAACCCATTTCTATTAATCTGTGTATCACCATGTGGCAGTGGCTTACTGGCAAAGATTTGGCACATCTGTCTCTGGAAGCGGATCCATGGTGTCTCAGACTCCACCCTTCTTTCTCCCAGCATTCAGTTCTGTCTTCCCCACCTACCTAAGTTCTGCCCTATCAACAGGCCAAGGCAGTTCCTTTATTAACCAATGAAAGCAGCACACAGACAGAAGGACCTCCTACACCAGTTGCCTGTCCACAGACATGATGTTCAGTCCCCAAAATCCATGTACTGAAAGGAAAGAACTGACTCCCTCCAGCTGTCTTCACACCACACCGTGCGCGTGCACACACACACACACACACACACACACACACACACACACACACTCTGTCACGGGCTCTCTCCTCCAGTCCATGGCTTCAGTGGAGGAAGCAGTATCTGAAGACCCAGGACAAGATCTCATCTGTTCTCAGTGTCTCCTGCTGCATCTGCTCCATCTGCAGCTTAGATACACAAGACAACAGTAATGCTGTGGCCACCACGTGGCTATGTACGCACACAGGGATTAGTGTAGGAGAACACTTGGTTTACAGCAGCTTTGGAAAGGGACCCACATGCCCCATTATTATGGAGCTCTGACATCTCAGTGTTGCCCTGCTACCGCAGCCTGGAAACATGGGCTCAGGTGAGACAGGGCAGGCAAGAGTACTTGATTTTTGCTTTTTTTTTTTTTAATTTATTTCCTTTGGGGCAAGTTTGGAAGGCCAGAGTAGGGAGGTATGGGGATAATGAGTAGAAAGGTAACGTTAGAGAGAAGAGCAAAGGAAAATAGTAGTGGCCTTGACTCCATCTGCCACTCCTTTCTCCAGACGAGAGCCCAGTACTAAGGGATGAGTTGCTTTGAAGTTGATTGACTTACTTTTCATTTGGGGGATTTTCTAGGTATGTCAACTTTGTTCTATTACTAGTGTTTTCTTATGATTCTTGGTTCTAGTTCCTCTTCCTGGCAGATCCATTCCTTAAAGAAGTTTAGGCTGCCCTCCGATAGAGGACACTGTCAGATGGGGGTGGTGACAACAGTTAATCTTGCCCCCTAGCCCCACATACCCCGCATGGGTATTGTTTCCCACGGGACTGTTAATGGGTCAGAAAGAATGAGTTGCAGGGGTCTCAAACGGACTCTTCTTCCTTTGGAATGCCGGCATAGTTAGAGTTAATTATCAGACATAGCTTAGAACTTGGGAAATCTCAGGAAAGGCCTATAGTTACTGAGTCCACTGATTCTAATTTTGGTTTGTACTCACTTTTTCTCCTTCACATACGAGTTTCTCTTTGACACACCATGCTTTGTTGATAGTCATGGAAAACCTGTTCTTTGCCAAACAGAAATGAAGGAGTGGACGAGTGGGCGTGGGAGAAGAGGGGTTGGGAGAAGGGAGTGGGAGGAGAGGAGGGTGGGAAAACTGTGACCAGGATGTAAAACGAACAAACAAGTTTCTCCATCTTTGGAAACATCTTTTGAAATCCTTTCTGTTGTTTTGTTAATGTTCACATCACATATTTTTACCTCACACCTGGTGCTGTTTGTATGATTATGACGATCTGGTCACCAGACTTCTGTTGTCTTATGTTTGATTATATCATCTCACGTTACACACAAGTGGTTTCTCTAAGGGCCAGTGTGTGTGTTACAGGAAAGAATGGTCACCGTTTGAGGCAGGCTTTCACTGTGCATCCCTGCAACCTGGAACTGGCAGGGATCTGCCTGCGTCTGCCTCCTGAGTGCCATCACGCCCGGCATAATCGCTTTGCTTTTCCTTTTCTGTTTGCAGTGCAGGGTCATGCAGGTCGCCTGGTGTTTGGATTCCTGAATGGAAGAGCCTGTGTGATGATGCAGGGCAGGTTCCATACGTACGAGGGTTACTCACTGTCAAAGGTAAATCGGGCACAAGCTTGGTCGGACTTGGAGAAAATGGGGGCGGGGCTATTCGACTTCGTTGTCTATTTGGGCTAGGTGAATTTTTGATTTCTTGTTGCCTGTTGTTTCATAGTGTGTATTATGTACACCTTTGTGGGTAGGTTGGTGAGGTTTTGAAAAGTCTTTTCTGATCTTTTCCACCTGAGGTGACATTCCCAGTGAGGGTCTTCCATCTTCTGGGTGTGGACACTTTGGTAGTCACTAATGCAGCTGGAGGGCTCAACCCCAGCTTTGAAGTTGGAGACATCATGTTGATCCGGGATCACATAAACCTTCCTGGTTTCTCTGGTCAAAACCCTCTCCGCGGCCCCAACGATGAAAGGTACGTATCTTCGCCCTTTGCTCTCGATGCAGGGGTCCAGATTTGTTCAAGAGTTGGGAAAGAAAGCCCACTTGGTGCCGTTTGTCTGTGTTCCAGGTTTGGCGTCCGTTTCCCTGCCATGTCTGATGCTTATGACCGGAATATGAGGCAGAAGGCTTTGAACGCCTGGAAACAAATGGGGGAGCAGCGGGAATTACAGGAGGGCACCTACGTGATGCTGGCGGGTCCCAACTTTGAGACTGTGGCAGAGAGCCGCTTGCTAAGGATGCTAGGAGCAGATGCTGTTGGTGAGAAGCGGGATTTGGCTGGAGGCTGGATCTGGTCAAATAGCGAAAGGGAGGACCAGGTGATGGATCTGGGGAAGCAGGAATTGGGTTACTGGGAACGTGGTGGACAAGCTTGAGTTTCAGCAGCTGCGGACATCAGCACAGTTGCCTTCTTAGGAGAGTGGCGGGTGAGGAAAGCACGTGACGGTCATCTTCTCCCTCTCCCCATCAGGGATGAGCACAGTCCCAGAAGTCATCGTCGCCCGGCATTGTGGGCTTCGCGTCTTCGGTTTCTCGCTCATTACTAACAAGGTCGTCATGGATTATGCAAACCTGGAGAAGGCCAATCACAAGGAAGTCTTAGAGGCCGGGAAAGCAGCCGCACAAAAACTGGAGCAGTTCGTCTGCATCCTCATGGAGAGCATTCCTCCCCGCGAGCACGCCTCCAGCTGACGGGCCTCCAGGGTTTGTGCTGCTTCCCTGCTGGAGTCCAAATAGCTGCCTGCTTTGGTCCCTTGCTGCTCTTAGATTGTTGCAGAAAGGAAAGAGGAGGATTCCTGCCCTTCACCTCCCCCTTACTCTTCCACCCTTCTGATGTCCGTCCCTCTTGCTCAGCTGCCTTCTCAAAACTGTCTACCTTTCAGTCCTGGAGAACTGGAGCCCGTGCCCCACCACACTCGGGGTGTGTGTGTAAGACAGTACCTTCCAGACCTGGAGACCATACTCGGGGTGCCCGCCTGGGCCAGTCTGGCTCCCCTAAAGCACCAGAGACCAACCCAATACCTCTTGGATTTTATTTAGCACCATAATGTTTTGAGAATAAAGAGATCAAGTACTTTCTTGTTTTGTGTAATTTGGCCAAGATGGGCTTGAGAAACTGTGGGACCACATGTCTTGTCTGATTCTCTGATTTTCAGAAGTAGCTAAGGATGGAAAAGAGGTGGCCGGTGAGGAGCAGAGGACAAAGGTGGAAGAGTGAGGATGTCAGGAGCAGAGGAGCAGAGTGACCCCCTCTTTTAGACTTGTCCCTGCCCGTCGGTCTGCTTTGCTCTGGTTGCTTTCCTGTACATCTGCAGCTCAAGGCTCTCACTTCCTCTACCTTAGCTGCCACTTTCTTACTGCATTCCTTTTTAATTTTTCCTTGTTTTTATTGTGCTATGCATTTTTCTCCATTATTGCATTCTTTTTATCCTTCTAGTTCTTCAGCCGTATTTTTTTCCACCCCATCCTCCCTCCCGACAGGGAAGCGGCAGATAGCTTTTGCTGTTTTTCACACTGCTGGCCAAGTTCTTTCCAACCCCAGCCAAGCCTGTGAAGTTGGGTCATACTCAGTTTCTCCTTAAGCACTATGTGGTGGCTATTCTTGGTTGTCAACGTAACTACATCTGGAATTAATTAAAACTCAAAAATAGATGGCATACCTGTGAGGGATTTTTGCTTAATTTGAAATGGAAGGATCTACTTCTAATCTGGATCTTTGGGGTAGGAAACCACACCTTGAATTCAGACCTTGAGTTGGGAAGACACACCTTTAATCCAGATCTAATCTGGACCACTCGTTCTGCTGGAAGCCTATGAGGACATGGAAGAAGGAAGCTTTTGCTCTTGGCTTCCCTCTTCCTGCTAGCAAGTCTACTCCTTTACTGGCTTTACAGTCTACTTCTTCAGGATCCCAACACACACTGAAAACCAGATGAGACCTCCAGCCTCGTGGACTGAGCAACTACTGGATTCTTGGACTTTTTGTTCATAGTCAGCCAATGTTGGATAATCCTGTAAGTCATCCATTTATCCATCCATCCATCCATCCATCCATCACCTTGCTTACACGTTAAGGAAATTGCACTACCCTCTCATCCAAAACTAAACAGATCTTAAGAGACAAGAGAAATGGCTCTATATCAAGAGAGCTAGGTCTGTAAAGATCCCCAAATCGAAAGAACTTCTTGGAACAACTAATGATGAGTCCTCTCTTATGTGAGAGGACCAAGGCGCCTGCAATGGACTGGTTTTCCTTGGGGCTTTGTGGAAAGTATGTTTGTTCAAAACATAGCTCAAATTGTATTTTTTCCTTGAATCTACCATGGTCAGCTTTATCATCAACAAATTCTTATGTGTGGAACATTGTCCTAAACAATTGTAACATAAATTGTAAAAGAGGAAGTAGGTGGGAAGCAGAAAATATAAGAAATAAAAGAGCAAGGCTAAGCTAATCATGCCGTTTGTCTGCTAATGACTTCTTACTAATCTTGTTTAACTTTCTATTACCATGATTCAGAATCATCTCTTTCCACTAAACTTTGAGGACACCCTCAGTTGTGAGAGGGAAAGGAGGAATATAATATGTGGAAAGCAGAATACTGTGAGTGTCAATGATCCTCTCTGCTTCTGGAATTCAAAGGAGAACTAACTCGGGGTGGGGAAGGGATGTGGAAATGTATTCATGAGACTTGAGTTTAAGACGGTGGCAAAGATATCCCAGAAGGCACTACTTAAACACATTTGGGAATTATTTTTTTTAAATGGCTAAACTGAAGAAATGAACAGAAAGAGAAGAGGTAAAGCAGGAAAGGCAGAAGTTGTTCAGGGCCCTGATCTCGCCTGAGGTGTGAAAACTGCATCTTCTAGGCTAATAGGTGGCCATTCAAGTCCAATAAGCTAAAGACCTACAGCCAACTGCACTGATTATCTTGTCTGCCTAAAGGAAACAAAAAGCACTATTTTTTCAAATGGTAGTTTTTGCAATAGAGTCTTGTAGCCCTAACTAGACAGCAACTCAACTGACTGTGTAGCTGGGAGTTACAGGTGTGAGGCTTTCAGGGGGGCAGAACAGTACAAATGGGGCATGCATCAGGACATATATGTACTAACAATCTAACACACTAGCTGGAGATGTGAAGACAGGAACATCCCTGGGCTCAGCGGATACTGGCAAGCCTGCCTGGTGAGTTACAGGCCAGCGGAAGACTTCTGCTTGTATCATACATGCCAGTTAGCGTGTTCCATGTACTGTTCTCTATCATGCTTCTTTTAATCAGCACATTTTGAGATATTTTACACAAGTAGAGTTCCTTGATAATTTAAGTCAGTGCAGCCAAGAATACATTTCATGACCTTAATTTTTTGGGAAGCCAAGGAAGTGTGAACAAAATTCTCCAGGAGGAAACTGCTCCTCAAACTGAACCTTCTGCAAGGCTGACTGTTGGGAGCTGTAGTGTCACAAATCCAGAGGCCCCCTTCCACCCTCTTAAATCCGTTCACCTCCCTCCCCTGTCGCTGACCGAAAGCTTTGTGCCAGCTGGGAAAATCAATTGGAATGTACAGACGGCACCAGATTCCTTCGGTGAACCCGTATCTTCCACCGACCAAGAGCTAAAAGTGTCCTCAGATAACATCTGAGACCTGTAGCAAAGGTTTCCTCACTTTTCTGCAGCCTGCTTCTTGGATGTCTCTCCCAGTGGACCTGAGAAGTGTCTTTTGTTCACTTGCGTGTTTAGTGGTGCTCTTTTCCTGTAAGGGTCACAGGGATCAAACTGGGGTTGTCAGGTTTGGCAGGAAGTACCTTGATTTGCTGAACCATCAAACTGCCTGTGATCACTATTAACTATTAACTATATTAACTACTATAAAAACTTCATGAAACTCTGCCATATTGGAACAGAGAATTTAGGATAACCTAAATCTGTGCCGCCAGGACATGGTCACTCATATTTGATTCCTGGATAAACTATGTCCTATCCACTTTGAGCTGGGAGCTGTGATTCTGCCACAACAGATTATGACATTAATTTTTTTTTTAAAGCTGTTTCCTTATACATAGATTGACTATCTATGGGAACAAAAGAACAATGTCAGCACACAGGGGGTACTTAAAGAAAGGTTACCTCCCCTCCAGCACAGCCAGAGGGCAGGAAAGAGACACTGGCACCCTCCTTGGCACAGCCAGAGGGAGCTCTTGGCGCTCTGCTGTGCCTTCTACCTAACTGTGATTTGCCTGAAATCTGTGTGGCCCTTTTCCTGGTAAATTACGTATGCTTTTTGTAATAATATTTTGTTTCTAAGGGACATCTTTTGAACTAATACTGGCTGTATGCCTGGTTTTCTGCCAGTATTAATTTGTAATTCAATAAAAATGGAAATTTTCTTTTTTATAATCTGTCTACCTCATTTTTAGGTTTGGCTTAAATTAGATTTAATACTTTCCCAGAGTTATTTGCCTTCCTTCTTCTGCGTCAGACCAAAGAAACCCCTCCTCCATTTGGCTTTCACTTTCATCCCGCTGTCGGTTTGCTGGGTCCTTGCCTGGTTTATTTCACTTGCCAGTTTCCTCCGTTCCCAGCTTTGTTGTCTGGCTTCTTTCTCCAGTGCGTTGTGGGAGGGACACCATTTTGCTTGTTAGCAGTGGCTTTGTTTCCCCAGTTTCATTCTGAGTGCTGTTCCCGGCTCCTGCTGGGGCTTGAAACAAAGAGTGAATGACTCGCTGTTCTGCACCAGTGCCTGACCTGCTTTGATTCCTCCAAATGTTCCTTACTCACCAAGGGTGGCCTACGGCCATTTCCAGCTCTAATGAATGTGAATCTTTGCACCGGAATAAACAGAGCACAGTCACTACCGTTCTATCGCCCAACTCCAGCAAAGCATGGAAGTCATTTAGTCATCAGGGAGTGAAGATGGGTATATTGGTTTTTGTTTGTTTGTTTTAAATCACATTCATTTATTTGGTGCGCATGTGTGCCTGTGTGTGTGTGTGCACACACGTGTGTGTGTGTGTGTGTGTGTGTGTGTGTGCGCGCGCGCGCACAAGTGTAGACAAGTACAAAGGTGTAGAGATCAGGGGACAGCTTGAGGATTTTGACTTCTACCATGTGACTCCCAGGACTCAAAGGTTGTCAGCCTTGGCAGCAAGTGACTTTACCTTTATTCTCTGGCCTTAAACCAAAGAACCTCTCCCTCCATTCAGCTGGTTTCTTCTTTTCCCAGCTCTCTTCTCCGGCTCGTTTCTCTAGGCAACATTTTGCCTCTTGTTTTTACTTTTGAGAACCAGTGTATTATGTAGACCAGGCTGGCCTTAGAGTTTTTACGTAGCTGAGGATGACCTAGAACTCCCGATCCTTCTGCCTCCACCTCCTGCGTGCTTAGCTCACGAGCAGATGCCATGTCATTATGCCTGGCTTCAGTTGTTGTTTTTTAGTATAGGTGTTTTAAATATTCTCACTCTAGACATAATAAATGTTAGGGAGCCCATCAAGCCCCTGAGATTCAAAGCCAAGTTAAACTGTGTCTAGTGTCTGAAATTTCAGGGGGTAGTCACTAGGTCTCCTGGGAGCCGGTTGCTCTTCCCTCACAAAGGAACAGAGACTGTTAATCCCAAAGATGTGAGGAGAGAGACTGTTAACTCAAACCATTATGGCCAAATTAATTAATTAATGCAAGCTTTTTTATTTGCATACACAGGCTGCGTACGGGGGCGGGGGGAGGTTCAAGAGGTCAGTATTGGACATGACAAAGACAAGGCTTTTATAGCTAGGAGTAGGGGGTTCAAATTTGGAGGACAAGATAGGTGGGGTCACAGAAGTCGAACATACCCATAGGAAGTTAGTCCCTCCAGAAACAGACATGGTTGCCATTCCTGGAACATGCAATGCAGAGCCCTTTGTACTTAAGGTGGGCAGAGCCCAATCCTTGAGAAATAGGTTTAATCGTAAGCAGGAATGAACCTAGCTTGTCTCTACTATAGCATGACTTTTAAGCCTAAAATAGAGGCAGGCTTGTTCTTCAGAATCACTAGTATGCATCCTCAGACTCGGGACGTACCTTTGCCCTGAAGAACCCGCCTGACTCCAGCAGCTGGAGCAGAAGCTGGGCGTTCGTTCACCTCTGAAATTGCAAGTACAAAGCACACGCACATGTGACTTTAGAACCCCAAAGCCTGTCTCCAATGACATCTCCTAGAGCAAGGCCAGACTCCCAAACAGAGCCACCAGCTGGGGACCAAGTGTTCAAATGCTCGAGACTGTGGGGGACATCTGCTTCAAACTACCACAGAGGAAGAGAAAAAAAGGATAAAAAGATAAAGTTAAGACAAATAGAAGAAAAGAGCAAAACAAAACAAACGCAGAGGCATTTGATTGTTTCTTGGAGCAACATTATTTTGCTGAGCCATTGCGGCTTTTCACTGGGCAGTAGGAGTGGCAATCAGCTAACTCGTGAGAATCCACACAAGAAAAAGGCTGTCTATGCACTGGCCTGCTGCCCCACCGCTGACCAGTGAAGCTGTCACACAGGATCCCTGTGCCTGCCCACCTGGGGTACACAAGAGGTTTCCAGGGCCTCTCCCCCATCACTTCTCCAGAACGGACCTGAGGAGCTAATGCAGCGTAGCTGGTGGGTTTGTGTGGAGAAAATCTGCACACATACCTAACAACAACAACAAAAAATTATAGGGGCTAGAGGAGATGGCTAGAGTCACGAGCACTCGCTACTGCTGCAGAGGACTGGGCTTTTGTGGCAGACTTCTCTTCCTGCCCGGTCCCACAACTGCTTTTAAAATAGCTACTCAGAGTCTTAAAAACTGTTTGGTCTATTAACTCAGGCTTATTTTTAACTAGCTCTTAGAATTTAAATTAACCCATTTCTACTAGTCTATATTTTACCACAAGGCTTGAAGGTTGTTACTTCACATCTTGCTTCTCCGGCAGCTGCGGGTGTCTTCCCGACTCTGCCCCCCCCCCCCGGGGGGGGGGGGGGGGTTGGGGGGGGGGGGTATTCTGGCCGGCCAAATGCCAAAAGCAAAACAATTGCAGCATACAGAAGGACATCCCATGACACTGGGTGCTAGCTCACAAAGGCTTGCACCTCTAGCTCTGGAGACCTGGCGTTCTCGCCTCCCTGGGAGCCTGCACTCACACTCACATACCCACACTCTCTTAATTTAATCTATTTTAAAAAATAATAAAAGATTACAATGAGATAACACTTCACTGGGGATGTAGCTCAGTGTTATGTTTGCCTAGACCCTGAAATCCATCCTTAGCACTAAAGTGATGACCCGTGAGATAACATTTCCCCTCACTAGAATGGCTGTGATAAATAGGATCGATATCAGCAAGTGGTGGCAAAGATTCCAAGAAACAGTGCGCTCCCCTGTAGCTAGCATGACTGAAGAATGGTTTGATCATTTTAGAAAGCACAGGGGTTGGAGAGATGACTCAGCGGCTAGGACTACTGGGTGATCTTGCAGAGGACCCAGGTTTCAGCGGCTAGGACTACGGGGTGATCTTGCAGAGGACCCAGGTTCAAGTCTCAGCACAGAAGCCACACATCCCAACCACCTTCCACTGTAGTTGTAAAGAGTCTTGATTCTGGCCTCTGAGGGCATTGTTGGAGTGTGGTGCAAAAATCATACACATAAAATAAAACAAAACCAAAGTTCAGCCTGAGGACCACTCTCAGCTACATAGTTTTAGTTTCTTGGTAAGGTAACCATAGATCAACATGCTAGGCCAAGCCAGCTGGTTAAAAGATAACACCAAACCTGATAGAAAAGAATTTCAAAAGATTGCCCTGGCCACCGCAAGAGTATGCTTTAATGGGGTCAATGACATCTTTGGGAAACGATCCCCAAGCCTATTATGCTGTTGTGGGTGCTGCATTTCATCCTGGGGTCTAGTGAAACGAGGTGTGAGTCAAACTTGTCTGCGTATTTTATGTTTTCCTCCTCTCCCTCCTCCTAAGATCTCTTTCTATAGCTGAGTAGGAGGTGTGGTCACCGGGGTGGGCCTTGAGGCCTCACAAGTCCACGCCAGCCCAGTCTCGTTCTCCATCCTGCAGATCAGGTGCTCAGCTACTGCTCTGGGCTGGGCTTCCTTACCTGAGGCCATGCTCCCCGCCATGATGGTCACAGATTAACCCTTTGAAACTGTAGGCAAGCCTCCAATTAAATGCCTTCTTCAGTTGCTTTATCATGGTGTTTCATCTCAGTAGAGGAATAACCGCGATACACATCCAGAAAAACATCCGCAGTAGCACTGCTCACAATCGGTGGAACAGCCCACATGTCCACAGCTGGTGAAGGAACCGTTTCTGTGTGTGTGCTATCAGTCTGATGGCATAGCAAGCCACTGACGCAGATCACAATAGACGCCACCTACGTGACCATGGATTTGTGGTTCTATTTATAGAAAATGTTCAGAAAAGGCATTTACAGAGATAAAAAGTAGATTAGCGGTCTCTGTGGTTCAGAGTAGAACAACAATTATTATAAATTAGCCTAGAGGTTTTATCTCTAGTGTTAAAATAGCCCAGAACCAACTGATGGTGATTATTGCAGCATTGAATAAAATGTCTAAAAACCACTGGGCTGCACCCATGAAACAGGTGGGTTCTATGGCGTGTAAATATACCCCAATAAGATGTATTGTATTATTTATTTGCTTAAGACAAGATCCCCCTCAATAGCCTAGGATGACTTCAAACTCACAATGACCCTCCTGTCTCCACGGACTGAGATTGTAGGCATACATTGTTACACCTACTTTAATAAAAGGGATTAGAAGCTGGGCATAGTGGTGAACACCTTTAGGCCTAGCTCTTGGAAGGCAGAGGCAGACAGATCTCCAAGTCTGAAGTCAGTCTGGTCTACATGTAGAGGGAATTGCAGGACAGTCAAGCTACGCAGAGAAATTTTGTTTTGAAGGAGGACAAAAACCCAAAATAAATAAAATGAAATGAATTGGGAGTGGGGAGACAGGCGATGATATCTTCGCAGACTCCGGGGGCCTGAAGGACTGTGACTCCCAGAGTTACACAGCAGCTGTCAGGTGCAGCTCAGGAGCCACCTGGCTGGATTAGCATCAGCAAGGTAAATCAGATCTTGGGGCTGCAGGAAGGAGCCTTGCAGGCAAAGTCACCATTGAGATTCCCAAGACACATTCCAGAGATGAGTGAAGCCCTATCCAAGCTCAGATATCTTTCCATCGTCACCCTTTTTATTGCTCCTTTAACACTCTGCTTTGAAAACATCAGAATATAAAACAAACACTAGAAAGGAAGGAGTGGTTAATATTGTAAAAAATATTGCATTATATGTATGAAATTGTTAAAGAATAAATAATAATAATTTAAAGGAAAAGTATTGTGAAATGGATTTGCAAGCTGCCGGGGTCGAAACCACGCGGTAGGTCCCCAAACGAAGGTGGCTGGTCCCCAGCCATGTGGCAGCTGGCTGGTCCCGGCGAGCGCTGTGGGCAGGTAGCGGGTGGGAGACACAGAGATAGGCGCACCATACAGAATAAATTTGGACTGTTATGGAGGGGAAAGAAAAGGGGAAGAGGAGAGAGAGAGAGAGAGAGAGAGAGAGAGAGAGAGAGAGAGAGAGAGAGAAAGTGGGTAGAGAGAACAAGAAGAGAGAGGGGGTCTGAGGCTGCAAGCAGGAAGGGAGTGGGCGTGGCTTGTCTATTAAAGAGACAGAACATTACATATTGTATCTACATTATTAGCTCTCTTCATAGCAAGTGTTGGTGATTGTGCTGGGATCCTTGACTATCTCTTGGCAGAAGGCTTCAATCTTTCCTTTCCAGGCCCCTATAATTCCCCATCTTTCTATCCTGCCTCAAATAAATAATTTATTAATATAATAACAACATTATTGTTATAGTAATTAATATTAATCATATACAATAAGTTAATGCATGATAAATTATC